TTGTAAACCATGGGGGCGAGGCCCCCCAGGATTTAAAAAAAATTAATATATAATTAATTTATTAATTATTACTATTAAAATTTTAAATATTGTATTTTTAATTATTAAAATAAATAAAATAAAAAAAAATCCAATGATAATGGGTTATTTTAAGAACTCAAATATAATCCATGTCATCCATTAACCATTTTAACAATTTAACTGTTTATTATCATTTAATTAATTTAATTTATTTAATAACACATCCCAACTGTAGAAAAAAAGGGGAAAAAAAAAAACAAATTCTTATGTGTTCTACTCTATCTCTCCGGTGTCCAATCTCAATCTCAATCTCAATCTCTCTTGACCTCAAATACCTAACAACTTCAAAAGTAGAAAAAAAGAAAAAAGAAACTCCGTCGACGTCACTGCAGTGCTGCTCTCTTGTCATTGAAAGCTTGAAGGCAATAGGACCATCAAAGGAGCCACCAACTATAAAGAAGATAAAGAGAGTACTATCTCTTTTTAAATGAATCATATATTGGGTTTCAACATTTAAATTTTATAAGTTTATTTTATTTATTTTAAAATTTTGTCTTATACTTATTAGTAAATATATTCTAACAATAAAAAGTAGTATATTTTCTCTATCCTAGAATAATAGATGTTTTTTTATTTAGAATTTATCTCAAAATAATAGTCGTTTTTTTCTTATTTTAAGGAAGAGAAATAGTTTTTTTCCTACTTTAATCCTATGATTATCTTTTAACTTTAATTATTTATCTTTTAATTGAAGTAGTTATTTATTTTTAATTATTTTTTAAGTATAAAATAGGTAGAGATAGAAATTATTTCAAAATCCTTAATATGAAGATAAGACAAAAATCTATTATTTTAGTATAGAGAGTGTAATATTTAAGTAATGAAATTTATTAATTTTTTATTATCACAAAAAATTGTATAATTTCCTTTTACAATTTATAGTTGTTGAGATTATGAACAAAATTAAATATTATGATAATATTGAAGTTATATGGAATAGAATTGAAGTAAAACAAATTGAAAAAGAAAAGTATAGACCCATAAATGGAACATATATGAACCTAGCAAAAGGAAAAACCTTCGATATAAAGAGAAGCAATAGGAAGATAAACTAGTATAAAGTGTAGTTAGCTTGTAAAAAAGGGAAAAAATGTTTGATTGTAGAAAGTGGTAAAGTGTAAAGATAAGATATTGCCATATTTTATATTTGCCAACCTCACCTATGAAGGTGGAGATTCTCTTCCACTAGAGATAATTGATAACTCAAACAATTAAATGCTCTGCCACTACATATTGATATACTATATTAGGAATTTTGATAGCTAATTGAGTACTTAAAGGTTTTATGTTGTCAATTGGTGCCTCCATATAAGTTTCAAATTTTAGATCCCTTATTCAAATTTGAGATGAGGATGAACAAGAAAATGGCTAGTGGATTAGAATTGTAACATTTAAGATTATGATCTTTTATTTGTTTATTTTGTTAGTTTAATTTCATATTTGAAACATTTTTTTAAATAAAGTTCTCTATTTTTGTTTATTATGTTAATTTAATTTATTTGTTTACTTTGCTTTTTATTAGGATCGATTGTATTAATGGGAA